AAATAAGAGAGGTAGAAGAAGCATTAAAGAGGTTAGATGTAGAAGTAGATGGCTGTGGTTCCTCATAGCAAGACTGAGTAGCTGATGGTGATGAGGTAATTTGGGTCTCATCATTACTTCTTCCTGTACTTGAGGTATCTTTGGTCACATGGCATTGGTTTTCTACATTAACTTCTACAGTTGGAAGGGGAGAAAGGAAAGAAAAAGGTCTGTGTGACAGTCACCACATCATGGTTTCAAAATTCCAAGAACTCAAACTCTGTCAAAAGCATTACATTAGTCATCAGAGCTTAGCTCCTCTTCATGGTTCTTGAATTACTTCCTTACCTACTGGTTCTTGAGTTGCATCGTGCTTTGTGTTTAAGGATTCATAAAGATAAGCAACATCTGAAAGAGATTAAAAAATATTGATCAGAATTTTAAAACAAAAATTCACTAACCTTAATCTCATATAAACAACTTCTATTCACAAGTGGCTGCTTACCCAACGCGTCTGACAATGAGAGAGGCAAATGAGGGGTCACTGCTATAGCACAATGTTAATATTCCTACTTAGGAGGCAATTAGGAACAGCACTGCAAGATCTTTTCTTCTCAGGAAAACAGGCAGAGCAGCTTTTATGTGACGTTTAACTTGTGCCAAACATGGAACCAGAGACTTAATCATTGCTTAAACCTAAAATCTGCTGTGTCAGAACAAACTGTATTTTTATGCATACTTGTATGAAAACTGTAAATACAGTCTTGTCTTCTACATTAAATATCATGCTGTAAATGTACCTAATACTATACCCTCCCATCTCCCAGTACATGCAACTACCTTCACAATAACAGGGGAGCTTATCACCATACAAAGTCTGTCTGTTCACCTTAAAGTTCCACTTCAGAGCTGTCGAATACAGTAATGAGGATTAACATTTAAAATGCCTCTTTCATCTAAAGTCTGTTCCAGAAAGTGAGTGCTCTCTACTAAAATTTAAATATTACATACTTCACTCTTGAAAGAAGAATTGCATGCTAATGGACAGAGCGGTCAGCTGGGGCACAATACGTATGTAAAAACAGAGCCTGCCCATTCCCTCTCTCCCCCTATTTAGCAAAGTTGAACCCCATCTGTTATTTTGTAATAATGAGCAATTAAATTCTTTCTGTATATCTTTTCAGTCAGCATTGGATTTAATGATCCTGTGTAACTGAATGAAATGAAATGGTATGAAAAGGTAAGAAATGAAAATTCTGCTTTCTCAATTGGTATAATTTCCCAAATAATTTATGAACATCGTTAAGTCAGATGACAAAACAGATCATTCATGAAATCTTTTATTAATTTCATCCCATTGCAAAAACTGAGCATTTACACCTTAACCTTGGTCCCTGACTTCTACCCAGTTAACACATGAAAGAACATCACTTCCTGCCCAACCAGACTTGGTTTATTTAAAAACCTTCGAGGAAGAACCCCCATTAATTTTTTTTTTTTTTTTAAACCTAATTATGTTATTGCAATTGCATCGTCCTGAAATTAATTCCTGAAAAGAATTATAGACATGTGAGGCATGATTCGTCTTTAAGACCACACAAATATTTTTCCAGGTTTACTAACTCTACTTTCACTACAGGGCTTTCCCCACCTCCCCCTCTAAAACAAGAAAAACACGACACAAAATAAAACAAAAAGCTTTTGCAGCCTTTCCTTCTGGTGCCAAAAATTGCTTCAGTGTGATATATAAAGTATCATTAACTATCCCAGCAATTTGACTTCTAAAAGAAGCACTGGGCATGTGATCAGGACCTCATTAGTTACCATTCTGTGCATTAGTTCTTCCAAAACTACTTCTAGGCACATTTAAATTTCAGACAGTTGCTCAGACTTGTCCCTGTAAAAATTGGCACAGCCATGACCTCTTCTACAGAGACTTGTTTTTAAACATTAGCAAATTATTTGTCTTAAAATTGAGTAATTCCGTTTTAATTGTACTGATACTTCTTTTCTCTCATCACTCAAAAAAAATGAGTAAGCATGCCATTTTAAAAATACAATTTACTTACTGTTTTCTGGCTCATTTTTTCTGTAAACAACATAGATCACATCCCCAGTCTGTAAAGGGTATGTCTGCTTCTTAACCACTTTCAGTTTATTAATTACTGTTCCATTAGTACTGTAAAGAGAAAGAAAAGATAACAGCATAAATGTTTTCATAATTACATAGGAAAGGAAAATACAACATACTTTTACTGAAGAAAAAATATTGGCCCTCAAAAAAAATTGTAAGCCAGGATAAAAAGAAAAAAAAAAAGTCCAGAAACAAATAAACAATTTTTCCCAAAGACAGAAGTGCAGAGGTACTAGGACTTCAAAGCTCATTTGCAGCTACTGGTAAAGAGATGGTAGCTGACAGATAGATGGACAAAAGATTCCTGACATTTAGTCAATGTCTCAAAATAATTAGATTATTGTTTCTGTACAATAATCTCTACCCTTTAAATATAAAACAGGAAAGGACAACAGGAGTTCTGTTCAAAAAGTTCTAGGTTATGTTTTCCAGTTAACACTGGGAATCTCCTAAGACATTCTGTGACAAAGGAACTTTTCTTGTACAGTTAGGGATGCCAAGCAGCATTAATTTTTCTCCCCTCTTGCTTCAAATAGTAAAAACCCTAAAATTCCAAGGTTACTTAGACCATTTGCAAATCAAAAGCGAGAAGTTAGTAAGATGGAAAAACAGTTATACATAATTAAAATATTATTTGGAATGAATTATTTTGATATTGATAAAATCTCCAAGACTCATGGAAGAAATTAAATTGGGGAAGAGGATAATGCAGAGCATTGCTGATGAATGGAGGTATCTCCTTCACTACCGGTGATGTTTTAGACACAAGCTAACAGTGTTTTATGACCAAGTCAACTTATTCAAGTACTAAATAATTCCAGCTCAGTTGCCATAAGCCTCTTTCAGGGCCGCAGCATTCTAGAATTTCAGACTTCTGCCATTCAAAATCTCAGCAATTAGTACCAAATATAAACAAACAGAAAAATCTGATTTTCCCTCTCAGCACAGCAAGCCGCTGCATGAATTAACAGCAAACCTCTGCTGCCACCTCCTGGAGGCCACCACTCGTGCCCAAGATGCAACACAGCCTTCCTCAAACAGACCAACTTCTCTCTAGAGAAAAGGGATGCTTATTTCGAAATAAGCACCTTTCCTTCTCATTATTTTTCTTTAAAAAAGCAACCTTGCAAAATCTCTTGTCATTTTATAACATAAACAGAGAAAGAAAACTAGAACTCTGTACTGTTGATCTTTTTGGACACAACGTCAAAAGCATTACATTAAAAAGTCAAAAGGGAAAGCAAGTCCTTTTCAATCACTACAGCAAGTTTTGATCAAGGTATTGGTTCTTGCTCTTACCCCTGCAACTGCTTTCACTATCTACATGGTTGAATCAACCAATTCAACGTAAATAACAAGGTACAAAAAAATAAAAATGCTACTTCAAGGATCAAGAAACGAACAAAAAAATCTTTGGGTCACATAGATATTTGCTCTATTAAAGAATCTTCAAGCTTCTCCTATGAACAAGAAAACTATTTTAAGCTTGCCTTTTTACCTCAGGCATACAGATGTTGACTAGCCAGAAGCACCAAAGGACTAGCAGAACAGAGACATCACTAAAAGAATGCCAAAGTTTAGCAATTAAGAGGAAAAAAGAATTTTAGTCAGTGTTAGAAACTATAGTTATTTTTAACTCAACATTGATGCTAGTGATAGTATGTTAAAAAGATTACGTCAAAGCAATTATTGCACCTCCTTGAATTGTCAAGAAACAGTAAAGCTTACAACGATCCCTGAAACCTGTCAGAAGTCCTTTAACAAAACTAAAAAACATCAAATTTGACCTCCTTAGTTTTCCAGAAAACAAAACAAAGCATGCATCTCCCATCTGCCGTAAGTGTTTTAGACCTTTTGCAATAAAACATCTAAATTCAAGTAACAAGAATTGTCTCTTACTGAGGTTTAGCAATTCCTAGTCCCAATATTTCACAAAACATAGGGAAAAAACCGTCACAACAGTGTATTTTATGAAGCTGCTCTGTCATGACTGCCAAGTTCCAAGATTGTTATGAGGCACAATAACTTAAGTGAGAGTTTCAAAAAAAAAAGAAAAAAGAAAAAAAAAAGCTACCCAAGATCCTAATTGTCAAATTGACTACAAGTAGCCAAATCTTTTCAGTTCTGCACACTTACATAGACTTCCGTGAGAGCTGACTAATGGTTTGGCATCCATGGACCCCAGTGAAGTAGGAATAAACTGATAACACAGAAAACCACAAGCTTTTCTTAAATACATTAGCAAGCTGAAGTAGTTGTATTCATAGCTCAGCCAACAATCAAAGGGGGAAAAAAAAAATCCAACTACCCCAGTGTTAGCCTTTCATTTCCAGTTTCAGGCTTTAGCATGAGGCATTTAACAGACATGGTGACATATTGGATTAATGTTGTGGGTATTTTTTAACCAGACACACATGATAAGTTATGACATTTGCACATTCCTCTGATGTTTCAAATTAAAGTAAGGTCCCCATAAAATAAGTAGAAAGTACAATGAGAATCCCAAATATGAAGGTGATTCATTAGGACTTAATATTGAATTGATACCACCTGACTAATTTTTGAGGTGAAGAAAAAAAAATGGTACTATCGGACATAAATTCTCTGCGCTGTGAAACAAAGTCACAAAAGGTCCCGATGTCACTTTTCTAAAGAGTGGAAGAAAAAAAAAAAGGTCAGGCTTTGACTCAATTCCAATGTAGTTGATGACTCTATGGTTTGATTAATGAACCACACGTTACCTTTACTTCCCAATCCCAACAGAATTGTTGTGAACAGCTACAGCTCACTCCGAAAAGGCTTACTTTTGAAGTAGGTGAATGATCTATGTGTTGTAAGATATTTTGGTATCCTTCTGTCAAAAACGCCAGTCTGTTACTTTTTAGTAATTACTAGCATCCATCCAGGAAAAGAATGTAAAGCTTCTGGGTTAACAGTTTTAATAGTTATCTGCTATTTAAATGCATATTATCCTGAACAGACTGTAAACTGAAATGAGTTTTGAATTCTATTAAGTTACAGAATCCCTTCCATACTGTGTCATTCTCCATGCTTTTAAAGTTCACAGAAACAGTTTTGACTGGTAGGATGAGGAGAATTTAGTAGCAGAAAGGACACCAGCGCCAACTAAAGAACAACCTCTGATTTACCCACAGAAAGGGAATATCTGCTTGCCTGTCACATGAGTATCAGCCTCCTGTAAGTAGTTTCCTGCTCTGAAACATCACTTACTACTCAGAATCCTTAAAAAAAAAAAAATAATTCCTAGAAGACAAGAAGAGGAGGCCTTTAAAAGTATTACCTTAGTTGCCTTTAGAATTTCTTATTCAAAACGGAGAATCTTACAATTGCTTCTACTTAGGCAAGCCAACTACTGCATCCACTGTGTTAGGTCAGCTTGTGTAATTTATTTTCTTTCAAGTAATATAAAGCAACTAGTGCATCATTTGGAAAATAAAGCAGAAACATAGCCCAGAAAAGGGCAAGTCTGAGAATATTTTATTGCACTATTTGCTAACTCTCAGGTTTTGTTACTTCCAAACTTCTGTTTACTCAATAATTTTGAGTTCTCTATACATTTTCTTTCACCTGCAAATTTATGGTAATTCTTTCCAAACTAGATCCATGATCTCATTATGCTACCAAGGAGATAAATAACAATGTTGGCTGTCTACATATATTTGACGATAATCTTTTGTTTAGCTACAATACAGAAACAAAGTCCACTCAGTTCAACTGTCCCACACCAGCTGCCTCCTTCAATGCATTCCTCTTCACCAGAAAAATCTGAGCTTGACCACAGCAATGTTTCCAAACTATTTTCCACTTCAGAGAAGAAAAAGCTGACATTGCAGTATTTTTCTGGGACTCTGGGCATCTGTATTGCCAACTCAAACAGTCAAAAATCTTCTTCTTTCAGCCTGCTTGATTTTTTGGAGCGCATCTGATATTCGGCACAAACAGTGGAAGGCTCAGAAGAACAAAGAGTCTTCTGCAAGTAGTCATACCAACCTGTTTAGTTTCTTGATTCAGCAAATGGTAACCACACTTCATACCAACTCACAGGCAAGCAGAAGACAAAGGATCTCATTCTTTTTTGTTAGATACATAGAAGTGTAACATGCATAAGCAACTAACTGGTAGTACTCCATAGGTGCAACCTTTCCATTACACTACCACTGTAACAAGCCCCACCTTTTCATGAATAGATCATATAGAAAATTAACTTTCATTTGGTTTTGCTAGTTTTCTGCTGGCTGCACCTTCTGCCTCGGGGGGACGGGCGTGTAGGAAAAAAAAAAAAAAGGCAGGCAGGAATGTTTCTGCATCATTCACAATTTTTTTAGGTTGCATTATCATGACATTGGTCAAAAACAGTTTTACCAGCTACATGCAACTGAAACTAGGAATGGTTTCTCAAGCTTAGATTTACAGCAATGCTCTGAGACTGCCATGATAGGCAAATATGGCCTGATTTGTTGTTTGAAACTTCTTGACATTTGGGACAACATTGGAGAATGTCAATTATAAGCCATTTCCTAGACATCCTAGCTAGGCCTGGTATTTTTCTCTAAAATTTAGCATTCCATCCCACAGCTCCTGGGAGTATAAGCCCTCCAGGGATCTATCCAGAGACCTATCCTGGTTATTTTCTCTAGCTACAACCTAGAAGTAGAGAGGAAACACAGCCTCATCAAGCTCGCAGATGACACCAAAGCAGGGGCAGAGCTGGGCTGCCATTCAGAGGGAGGCTAGAGGAATGGGCTGACGGGAACATCATGGCATTCAACAAAGACAAACCCTAAGTCCTGCACCTGGGATGGAATAACAACCTGCCACAGTACAGGCTAGACACCAACCAGCGAGGGTTCTTGGAGGATCTTATGACTAAGCATAAGATCACACACCTTGGACTCATGCCTAGGCTTAAGTCAGCAGCATGCCCTGGCAGCGACGATGGCCTACAGCACACTTGGCTGTGTTAACAAGGGTGTAGTCAGAAACTCAAGTGAAGTGATTATTATTCCCCTTTACTTGGAACTCATTAGTCCACATCTAAAATATTACATATAGTTTTGGGATATAGTACAAGGAAGGTCTTGATAAACTTGAGCAAGCCCAGTAGCTAGCCACCGACATGGCCAGAGGGCTGGAGCACAAGACCTATTAGCTAAGGAGCCAGGGAAACTGGGCTTGTTTTGCCTGGAAGAAGGCGGCTCGGTGAGCAGGGGACCTAGCAGCAGCCTTCCAGTACCTATGAGGAAGTTACCAAGAAGACAGAGACAGGTTCTTTACTGAGGCAATAAAGGTCATAAATCGAAACAAGGAAGATTCAAACAGATGCAAGGGAAGGGGGAAAAAAAAAAAAAAATCACTGTGAGGATAATTAAGGTCTGGAATAAGGGCCTGGAGAGGCTACAGAATCTCTGTCTTTGGAGGTTTTCAAGACCTGACTAGAAAAAGCCTAAACAACCTAGTCCAAATCCAGTGGTGGCCCACCTTTGACAGTTTGAACTAAGTGACCGCCTGAAGTCTCTTCTAACCTGAGTAATTCTGTATGTTCCATTTTACTTGAGGAAATAAAATAAAAAGAAATGTAAAAATGCCCATGTAAATATCTGGAAATGAGTTCCTCACCCTGAAAAAATACTCCTTTTAGTATCAACATAGCCACTAATTGATCGAGACAGAAAAGGAGCAGAAGGTGCAAAAATTCTGCTGAAATAAAAATGCTGACGAAAGCTCATACATTCTGCCAGCGCCCCCCAAAACATGCATGCCATTCAGTTAGACTGTTCAAAGGTTTTTCAGAATATTCTTGGAGGGATTTTTGTCAAAAGCTCAGCAGGTATTTGATACCAACCCCGAGCTACCAGAACAATATATTTAATTGCATTCTGGTACATTGGAATAGGGATTCGGCACGATACCCTTCAAAACCTCAAACGTAAAATTTCCTCTTTATATATGTACATCAATATATTTTGAAGTGTCGTCTTTGTCTTTGGGTAAAATGCCTTCCAGACATGAAAAATGGGGGGAGGTGGCAAAAAAGTATTATTTGTTTCTTTACTGACTGCAATAACCTGGCAGAAAAAGAATGTCGTTTACAGAAGCATTTTAAAATGTCACAGAGTTCTTGAAATGTAATAAACCAGAAGTTTTTGGCAATCTTAGACAAAAAATCCTGTAAAAAATGAAGCAGATGAAAATTTGAAGAGTGTTACAATCTCCTCCTAAGAAATACCCTTCCATTCAAATTCCTATATCAAATTTTATACAGGAAACTAGAAAACAAACTAAAATCCATTGGAAACCACCCACAACCCCTGCAGTGCTATTTGTACTCCCACAGTAGCCTTAGACCTCTACAAGAAATAATCTCACCAGTATAGCAAGTTCATGGTCCTTCAGTATGTGAAGAAGTATGTAATTAACTTTATATACTAAAAGTAGTTCCACTAAATTAGCTTAGCTTTTTAACAGTACTTCCAGTGAAGTATGTGCTTATATCTTCCTACATTAAGAGCTTTCGTTCTCACACCCCTAACTTAACACAGAAACACTCAGAAAAGAAAATAATCGTTCTCACTAAACAAAAGAAACAAAACTGAAATATCTGTAGTAGAAATCTAGCAAACATCTCTTATTACTAAATTAGATTGAATAGGCTCTAATCTCCATCTGACATGCTCACCACAACTTCTAGACTACTACAGTACTTATGCTGTAAAGACTATGGATATTTTGAATACCAGGAAGACGTATAACAAGTACAGATTTTTATTCCACATCTATTTTATGCTTTGAGATCATCACTGCAGGAATTTTCTTCCCCACACAAGTGCCTGAAATGAGGCACACTCATGCTTACAGCTTTTAAGAATGCTGGCATCACTTTTTTCACAGGTCTAAAGAAATATGCTACAGAACTATTACATCAACATTGTTTTTCATCCAGTAGACTATGAATTCCTTTGTAGAGAAAAAAAAAATATTTAGAAAGAGCCCAGCCCCCCCCCCAACCTAGATGTAAAAGCAGGGGGAAAAAAAAAAAAAGAAACAAAAACAGAGAAGGATTTACTATTGATGCTTCGAGCAATACACAAGATTTTACTTCACAGACTAAAAAGAAGATAAGAGTAAAGTTCACAGAAGAACCAACCTTGTATCTTCCAATGACACTTGACCAGATTCTTCATCTACTACGATTTTACAGTGATCTCCAGACACCAACTTGTTGCCAGGGAAAGATAAGTCACAACCTTAAAAAGAAAGCAGATTTTCCAGTGTGCTTAAAAATACACATTACACAGACAGATCAGCATTCTACATGGCTATAAATGCACAACAAACTGACTCATGTACATCTGCAATAGTTCAAAACTTCTACTGGCATATAGGCAGCAACACAGCCTAGTACGTGGTACATAAATACAAACAGTGAGATAGCCCCATGTGCTAACATAAGCTTAGTTCAACCATTTCAAGATGTTTTACTTCCCTTTTTCCCCTCAATCCTAGCCCTTACAGATGAAAATCAAATCACATTTACTTTGTTCTACAGTGGTAGAGAGATAAATTCACACATTTGAAGTGTTCAATCTAAATTCTATAGGCATA